TGGCTATGCATAACATATATGCCAAAAGAAAAATACTACACTTTCCAATCAAATGAAAAGATTCTGTCTGTAATACTGCTGTGGACTGTAGACTAACAGACACCACTCCTTGGCTAACTCTGCAACATTTATGACGCCCTCTGCTAAAAAAAAAAAAAAAAAAACACAAGTGAAGAGGAAGAGATTGAAAAGTGGTCTGGGTGTAAAGTTAAAATATTAAAGTAAAAGCTCAACTTTGGTACTTAAGTCTTTTTTTCCCCTTGAATAGAGTAAGCAATGTTTACATCACTAGGAGATTTTTCTCTGCTCTTGGAGAAGCAGCAGTAACTGGTAAGCCTAGACAGCTCCGAGGGCAGGTCACTGCTCCATGTGTTCTCACAGTGGGCAGGGCCTCCTAGCTCTGGGCATTGGCTTAGCTGGGACCAAGACTAATTGATTGATTTTGTTCCAATAAAACTTTATTTATAATCCTAGAATTTGAATTTCATATAATTTTCACACCACAAAACCTTTTATTCCAATAAACATGAAGAATCCATCCTTAACTTACAAGGCTTACCAAGCAGATGACTTGGATGTGAATAGATTTTGACCCTATTTTTAAGTTTTTAAATTAACAAATACTTTCTTTTAAGAAAAGAGCTTTTATCCTTGAAAAACTAATAAATCTTCACTTTGAATGAGTATTTCATTCTCTTTTAAAATAGATTGTTTTCTTCGCATAAATATTTAAATGTTTTAATGATTATAGTGTAGAAGCTTTTAAACTAGCTAAATTCTAAAGATAAGAAACCATCTTTTGTTATAACTCCAGAAATCTTAGTATTTAAATATTTTTTATCTTGAACAAGTTAAACTAACACATATGAGTACAGTGAAATAGAAAGTCTGGATGGTTTTTATAACCTTTATTCATTGATAATATCATTTATTTCTTGCTAAAAGATATGGACTTTTGAGTTGCTTTTTGTAGTTAAACTTTAATAGAAACAGCAAATATTCAACCTTAAGTGCCTTTCTCTAACACACTGTGTTTGCTTTTTTTGACTGATCACAGGAATACTTAGTGGTCACCTTACTGCAGTAGATAGACAGTCTAATTCTCAGTGATGCTCACTGGACACGGGATGGAGATTTGTGTCACAGGGAGGGCCCCTGGAGCCTGACCAGTCTCTGGCCGGCCCTAGCGTTACCGGTCTCTGGCCCAGAGCTCTGATATATGGCAGGATCAGCCTGAGCTGGTGCCTTTCTAACCACAAAAACACACAGAAGAGTCTGGGAAGATGAGAGTCAAGAATAACACGGCTGGAGCCATAATCTGGTGGGTTCGCTGAATGGAGAGAGACCAAGACTCCGGGACAGAACTGAAACGTTCCTGCACTTTGACTTCACCACCTGCAGCTGCCAGGTCTGGCAGGAGCACGTGGATGTCATTTTGCCTCACAAATGTTCCGAAAGGAGGCTAACTATGATAAACTGTTACCTTTTTTTTTTTTTTTTAAAGATTTATTTATTTATGCATACAGAACTGGGGTACAGGCTGGAGGCGCAGAGGCGGTGAGAGGCTTCACCAGAGACAGAGTGGGGAGCAGAACTGGCAGATTGACGAGGCACACTGCTGAGGGGAGCAGCGGGCGAGACGGGAGAAGTCTGCAGCACCATACGGATCACCTCTGGGTGCCGGGATTGAACTCTCACTGAAGCAGCTGCAGCCAGCCTGCAGTGCTGTGTCCCAACCAGCTGTGCCACCAGGGAGGGCCCATAAATTGTTTTCTTAACTCTGATTTCTAGCCAAGGGCTGAGCATGCTTCCACACTGTGGAAGTCTGCTCTGGAGTCCCTTGCAATTGGGAAATACCTGGGCAGCCCACACAAAAGCTTTCATTTAATTTGGTCTCACATCTAAATGTTGTGTTGCTCTGACTCAAATCTGTCTCTGCTGTTTGGCTCAAATGCTCCCTGTATTCTGATTGTGCTTCTCACTCAAGGAGGACAATCCTCCCCGAACCCCAGCAACCCGAGAAGATCAGCAGAACAAAGAAAGAGGACTGTGCAGGACAGCAGGGAAGGAGGCTCATTTTTCCCTGCAAGTACCTGCAGACTTCACAGCGTGAAGGGTGATATTCACGGACTCCTGAAGCCTCGCTGATTTTAACCTCTCTTTATAGGATCAGATCTGACTGTGATCTGGAACCAAAGCACCTGGCTCATGCTGATTTCCCAGCTCTGCCTGTCTGAGAAGAGGGAGGCAGTGAGATTTTGTAGGCATGTCCTTACTTGCTGCTGATAACATGCGACTGACTCCTGGCGTCAGGCTGATAGACACACCGATGGGGCCAGAGCCGACTGTCACCTCCTGCAGGACTATGAGCAAATAAGGCCTGGAATTGTGACAAAGGTTGAAGTGTACAAGTCAAATATTCATCATTCAACTGACCAGCTCTACAGCCCCCCAAACAGGCCAGTAAAAAGCATCCACATAGGGTTGTCCTGTTTATTAAAAGCATTTAGCTTACTGGAATAAATAGGAAGAGTACCCATCAGCAAAGTCAAATGGTTCACAAAGTCTTCAGGAAGAGAGTAAAATCTGGGATGCAGATTTTCTACTTCCCATGATCTTTTGAAAAAGAAAACTGAAATCCCAAAGGCAAGATGTCACAACAGGACAAAGTCCTCATCTATGATGACATCGTTTAACAATGATGACCTCTACCTGTGGTGGATGACCCCGGGCCTGGGTCCACGAGAGGCGCTCCCAAGACAGAGGCTGGCCTCACACCTGGAGATCCCAGCAGCACTAAGAGAGATTCCTAAGCAGTTCTACAAAGCAAAAGAAGCAGAGTGCCCACACTTGGCCATGGCACAGAGAAAATAAACGTGTGGCACCTTCCTTTAGCAGAGTTACCTAGAGTGGGCCATGAGGTGGACAAGCCAGTGGGCACAAGATAGATTCTTGCTTTGGGCTAGACCCTTCACTTTGGTGCTACCATCTTTCTCTACTGCAGATGGGTTGCAGGGAGGCAGAAGAAGCAAGTGGAAGCTTCCTGCCCCTGCCCTCTCTCAAGCAGACATCAAACCTACAGACCACTTGACAGACCTCGGGTGCAGCCAAATGCCGAGGGTGGCTCCTCCAGGCGTGGGAACGGCGCCCGTGTCCCCAAAGACCATGCCCCGACATGCCCTCTCCATTAAGGCCTTAGTGTACCCTGGACATTCCCAGGCCAAAAGCAGTCTCTGAGTCAAAGGGGTGTGTGGCCAGGTAGTCCTTGTACTGCCCGTCCAGCAGCTGGGCCGCATTCCTGGTGAACCAGCAGTCTATTTGCTCTTCCCCGTTGTAGATTTTCCTTTGCTTCCAGACCACCGGGACCTGGTGCCCTTTCACCTTTAAGACAGCCTCTGACTTCTCACCTAACTCGGGGAGTGAGGGGCTGGGGCTCATAAGGTCCTTGCTGGGCTGGGCAGGCATCTCAGCGAGCTGGGCATCCTGGTTCAGGAACTGACCTGAGAAGGTGAAAAAGCATCAGGTAGAAGTCAAGTGTAGGAAACACTGCTGAACAACAAATCTGACTTCAACTTCAGTCCCCAGTGACCGAGACATGCACTCTCACTTCCCGGAGGAAAGGAGCATGTGGAGGCCAGAGGGCAGACTCGCCTGCACCCCCGGCGGGCGGGACTCTCCCAGGAGGCACTCACATCTTCTCCACTGTCTGTGGGAGCCTGCATTTGGATGGCTTAGTCCCCGCCGTCTGTACTTCTGGGAGCGGCGTATGCTAACACTGGAAAGCAGCCTACCCACAAATGGAGATAACTTATCTCTCCTGTGGAGCTGGAGGACAAGACGAGGGCAGATAAATAGAGAGGAAGGAACAGGTCCTGCCCTCTCTTCTCTACTGGTGTGGGACCTCTCCAACCAAGCATATAGAGGGGCTGTGTCATTTCATTCCAGATACCCACCCTCAGGAAAGGGCATTGCTAACTAACGCCAGGGAAGCACTGCAGTGTCTGTGTGAGGAGCTTGGGCTTAGCAGTCAGGCATGACAGAAACCCGGCCAGCCCAAAGTGCCAGGAAATCCTGCTTTCTAAACCAGGCTCTGGCAGCGACCAGCTCTCTACTAACGGGCAAGGTGCCCACGTGAAATTGCACGTTGAAAAAGGTCAGACAGAGGAGACTGCCTGCAGGTCATCGTGGGTGGGTGATCCCTTAAAAGGATGTGTTCTGAAGGGCAGGACAGGGTGTGGACTGTCCTCCACTTGCACCTTGTTGCTGAGAGATTAGGAATCTGGGGTCTGAAGAAGGTTATCCTAGCTCTTTTATCTGACTTTCTAAAAGGCCATGAGAATTCATTTATAAAGCCTATTCCTATTTTAGAAAGTCATCAGAAGACAAGAGGTATGAGTGTGTGTGTATTACTACTGAATTTCCCAATCAAGCTAAAGAGATTAGCAGTACATGCTTCATGACAGAAACTGACTCCAGCCTCTGAAGTCAGCCTGAAGAGCACATACCTACCTAAGAGCCCATGGCAATGGCTGGAAAGGCCTTTGCTGTTGGAGATGTAGAAGCCCAGGTGGTTTCGCTGGTAGGGCGCTGGCTTTTTGTAGAGGTGGATGAGGATGACAAAGGCAATAGTGCCCTGGATGGTGACGGTGACGTTGGCATTGGCAGACACTGTTACCTCCAGCCCCCGACTCCCCACCACCACGCTCTGGTTGCAGGGGAGGACCAGCCTGTCCCCGCCGTCCAAGATGACTCTGTTGGGGGTGATCTCGAGATAAGACCTCTCAGGCTTATTGATGAGGATGGTGATGGTGCGGAAGTAAGTGCGCTGTTTCTTGTGGCCGTTTGGGGGAGCCGGGGCCCCAATTAATTCTCCATTCACTGTCACGCCTGAGACAGAAGAAAAGTGAACAGTGGTTAGAAAAACAACCTAACTTCAAAAATGAGAAGTCTCATCAAATTTCCTTGCTCCTCTGACTTGATCTTTTATTTATTTATATTTTACATGTTTGTTCATTTTTCGGTTCTTTTTTTCTTTTTTACAATGTTTGCTTTCTTTTCTCAGGTGTAGTCTCTGTAATTCCCACCACCAGTTCACCTGTGCATCATCAACATAGTCCCTTGTGCTCCTCCTGCGCCAGTTTCAATCTCTCTGCTCACCCCCCACCCCCGTAGAATGTCTCTGATTTATAGTTGTCTATTTTGTTTTACTGTGTATTTTTTATTGTTATTATTTTTTTCCCTGATCCCTTATTTGGTTCCCCTATATTCTTCCTATAAGTGAAACAATCTGGTATTTTTCCTTTTCCTTCTGACTTACTTCACAGAGCATAATCCCTCTAGTTCCATCCATATTGCTGCAAATGGCATGAGTTTATCTTTTTGATTGCTGAATAGCATTCCATTGTGTATATGTACTACATCTTTTTGATCCAGTGGTCTATTTTTGGTTATCTGTGTTATCTTTTCCCCTCAGCAGTGTATTTCAGTCGATCTGCCTGTTCTGCTCCCCACTCTGTCTCTGGTGAATCCTCTCATGCCCTGCACATCTGGTCTGTACCCTGGTTCTATAGGCATAAATAAATAAATCATTTTAAAAAATGATGAATGAATGAGTACATGGAGTCTGAGTGAATTTGTCTCCATGTCTGGCCAGTGTCTTGGGGGTAAGGAAGGTTAATGTACATTTGGGTTCAAATATCACAGGAGGGGTTAACACTTCATTTGCATCCATTCCAACAACTGGTTGCAGAGACAAAAAAATCTTGTGTGATTCTAACACATTTTTCTTATCATCAGTTGCCAGGGATCCTGATTTGGAGATCCTGTGATGCCATGAATGGAGTGATAAAATGCAAAAATTGTATTTTATTTTATTCAGAACACTCAAATCTTCCACGTTCAGGTGTGTAACCCTGAACAAGTCACTTGGAAATCACACATGAAACAATGCTCATTGTCACTTATCACCAGGGAAATGCAAATCCAAACCACCATGAGATAGCACCTTATACCTGTGAGAATGGCCCATGAAATAAGGGTAATGGAAAGTGGAGAAAAAGAAAGCCTGTATGCTGTTGGGAATGTAGACTAACCAAGTCCCTATGCAATAAAGTATGAAGGTTCCTCAAAATATTAAAAATAGTTCTACCATGTGATCCAGAGATGGACTTATTTACACAATGGAACACTAATCATTTCTTTTAAAAAAGGCTAACCTCTTGCCATTTGGGACAAGATAGATGGAACTAGATGAATTATACTAAGCAAAATAAATCAGAAAGAAAAAGAAAAGTACCAGATGATTTCATTCATATGTGGAATATTAAAAACAAACCCTTGAAATGATACAAAACATTGATGCATCAGAGAGGCTGAAGAAATATGGGAAAGGGCCCGATAAACATGGACAGTATTGCCAACCATGGTGACCTCAATAAAAACAATTTGTTTTAAAAGAAAAATTGAGACTCTATTTCCTCTTCTATAACATGGGGGTACAAATCCTGAGAGAAGGTGGCATGTGTGTAAGCTGTCAGTCATCATCAAATAGAAATACTTTCTTTTTGCCTTCCTCACCCTTCACACAACTGCAAGTTTTCATGACTTTCAAGGCCTGTGAGCCAGACCCCAAGGCTCCATGCTGGCTGCTGGAGAGCAAAGGAGCAGACAGCAGCTCCACAGGTGATGTCTGAGGCGGAATCAGGTGGTGCATGTTAAATGTGTTTTCCTCTCTGACAGAGGCCATTTACAATCATAAAAGACTGCTATAGAATTAACTCTTCTTTTCTCTGCTTTGGGAATTAATCTTCCTCTAACTCTTGTCAAGAAGCTGCTTAGACATTCCAGGAGAAAACTGCCTTCCCTGAGGCAAGGGGTGGGGAAAAGGAGAAATCCAGCCTGAGCAAGGATCAGGTACTTCAGTCTCAAGGTTCCTGGAGCTTCGGTAAGATTCCCACCACTATGAGCAAGAAAATGGTCAGGCACTTCCAGGAAGGGGTAGTCCATCTCCCTTGTGAGTCGTCTGAGTTAGAAACAAGCTGTTCTCTAGCTCAGGGGCTAAGAGGTGAGGTGGGAATGGCACTCCAGGACCAAACATGACACAGTCCCATCAGACATGTCACCTGACTGTGGAGCTTTCTAGAATCTAGACTTCCAAGAATTCATTTGCCAGAACTGATCAATGCCAGAATGTCTGTTCCAAAGCCTGTCCTCACAACGGGCTGTGGGCTGTTCACACTGCCATCCCTGAAGCATGTTACTGACTGTGATTCATAGGCATTTTTATATCGGGTTGGTAATTAGCCTATGCAGAATGTGGGGGAGGGGTGGGTAAGGAAGGGGACTGTTAATATCAATGTGTGGATATTAATATCAACTTGTGAATTTTAAAATGTCTGATAGATGTAATTCAGTTTATTGAAATTTTTATCTAAATTCATGCTTCCCGTGCCCACTTTAGTAAACAGAATGCACTTCAAGTAAAAGGCAAAACAAGAAAGCACTTTAATATAAGGCACACCTTATTTTATGGTGCTTAGTTTCACTGTGCCTCGTAGATAGGGTGCCTTTTACAAATTGAAGGTTTGCACAACGCTGCATCAATCAAGTTTATTGGTGCCATTTTTCCAACAGAGGATGCAGAGGATGGTGAGCATTTTATAGCAATAAAATATTTTAAACTAAGGTAACATATGTTTCAGACATAATGCTACTGCGCATTTAATCAATTATATTATAAATACTTTTACATGCACTGGAAAACCAAAAAAATTCATCTGACTTGCTTGCTGTGGTACTGGCTTTATTGGGATGGTCTGAAGCCACCCCCCACTATCTCCTGGGGGGGGGCTCTGCATGAACCTATTTTGGGGAGCTACAGGGAAAATGGACAAAGGATCAGGAAAAAGACAAAACTTGCAGGCAACATGGCTCTGAGGCAAACAGCAGGGGAGGGTATGGGAGGGGTCAAAACAGGGTGGGGAAGAGCACAAGGGACTGGGGTGAGGGGTCATGGATGCCATGGTGGTAGGAGAATGATGGGGAATACATCTGAGGGGAGAAATCAAATATTGTACAAAAATGTACAACAATGGAAGAAAATTAAACAAGAAATTATTAAAATAGTCTATTTTACAAGGGAGAAGACTGGAGTGCCTGGCTGTAGCCCATGATCACAATCAAGGTCGAGTCAGAGCAGGGATGCCAAGCTGGTGTTCCCAGCACACAGTCTACTCCCTTCAGTCAGTCAGCAGTACTCACAGAGCCTCTCTGATGTGCCCTCCCATAACTGGCTCCCCATCTTTAATTTTTTTTCATGTTTCTTTTTTAAAAGATTTATTCATTTATGCATACAAGAAATGGGTACAGGTGGAGGGGGGTGAGAGGATTCACAGACACAGTGGGGAGCAGAACAGGAAGACTGAAATACACTGCTGAGGGGAGCAGCGGGCAGGTCAGGAGAGGTCTGCTGCGCCTTGTGGGTCACCTCCCTGACCAGGAACCAAACTCGTGCTGCAGTGGCTTCAGACAACTTCATAGTGCTGCTCTTAACCAGCTGCACCACCAGGGAGGACCCTAATTTTTTTCATTTTTAAACAATGTTTACTTTTTTCCTCCCTCAGGTGTAGACTCCAAGGAATTTCCTACCCCTATTCACCCATGCACCACCACCTCAGCCCCCCATCTTCCCTCCTCCCTCCATCCTTCCAACTCCCCTCCCTACCCCTTCCCTATAGGATGTCTCTGTTTTATAATTGTGCTTGTTTCTGTTTTGTTTTATTGTGTTTTGTATTATTCCCCCCTGATGTCTTATTTGGTTCCCCTGTATTATTCCTATAAGTGAAACCATCCATATTTTTCTTTTTCCTTCCTACTTATTTCACTGAGCATAATTCCTTCTAGCTCCACCCATGCTGCATGAATGCACGAGTTTATCTTTTTGATTGCTGAGTAGTATTCCATTGTGTATCTCTACCATGTCTTCTTGAGCCAGTCTACCTTGGGGCATCTGGGTTGTAGCAAGCCTCCCATCTTAAGAACAGAGTGGCTCAGACACCTACCTGGCCTTTGCCGAGGCCCCCACACCAGGGCAGACTTACCGGCGTGCACATGGTCAGAGACTAGCCTCAGGATGTCCCCAGGCTGCCCATCGATGTTGAAGCAGACAGTGAGCCTGCTCAAGGGGAAGTCCACGACGAAATGGGGATCTCCATCCGCTGCCAATGCAAGAAGAAACAGGAGAGAAAAAACAAGAGTTGCTGGGTGATTTCCACCTTTCAATACCCTTATATTTTCTCATGAATTATTTATTTAATCCTCTTAACCATCCTTGATGTCTGAATGAGGAAGATGAATAGAAAGGAAGTGACTCATCAGAGTTGCCCAGTTCCTATGCAGTAAAGAAATATTAGAATTCAGGTCCCCTAATTGCAAGCATAATGTTTCTTTCACCTCAAACACACACAGTTAAGCTTTGAGAGGTGGGCGGGGCACAGAGAGGAAAGGGGTATTGCACACCCCTCTCTACCACCAAGCCCAGAGTCTTCAGTGTCCTGGGTGGCCTCCCGAAATCACTTGCTTTCATTTTGGTTATTCAATTGACTTCACATGAAGAGAGGTGTGTGAGAACTCCTTCCTCGCCCAAGGCCAGTGTGCCATAGCACCAGAGATAGCCAACATGCAGGCCAGTGTAATGACCAAACTCAGAGAGGGTGGGGACAGCTGAGACTTAGAGTCACCAGAGGTGAGGCAGGGGTCAGCAAGGACAGTGGAAATCCGTCCTGTGGGTCATGCTGACTCCACTGCTCTCAAATTGTTGTCCACACATAAGATTAGAAAGTTTAGGTCACCCCATTCCTTGCCCATCTCCTCACCCTGGTTAAAGGGGGCCAGCCTTGTCTTTTATAGCACAGACCAAATATATCCCAAGAATCTATAAATACAGTAGTTATCTTGTTTCACATGTTGTAGATTTAATTTCTCACTAGTTTATACACCAGACGCAAGGCGTTTCTGAATCTCTGTTTTTTATCGCACATGTATATCCACATCTCTATGGTGGGGTGGGGTCAGGAGTTTGTGTTTTCAAGCTGCTAGCAAACTAATGTCCTGGTGCAACTGCCAAAAAAAACCTCCCATGGCTGAGGCCTTGAAAGAACCTGGGTTTCCTCAATATGAAGTGCCTTGAGCACCTTGTGAATGGCAACATACAAATGTTGCCCCCCGGAAGTAATAGTCCTGGTGTTCATTTTTGGCACCGTTTAGGGATGAAGAGTGTGATGTGACAGTTCTCTGAGTTTCTTGGGCTCATACCTCTTCATTTCTACTCAAATCCTCAAATCCCTTTCCAAGCAAAGGTGCTGCTTGCTCCGAGAGAGAGAGCGGTCTGAAGTCACTAGGCAGCATCCACGGCACGTGTGCTCACAGGACACACACGTGCTGTCCTGTTCCTGGACACTCTGTGCTTCTACCCCTCCAGCTACACTCTGGGATGCTCCTGGCTCTCTCTCTAGTGTATCACTAGGACTGACAAAGGAAGATGTGTGCAACTTACGGATAAAACCCAGCCCTGTGTGATTATTCCAGTGGATTTTTATTACCAGGAACCTAGCCAAGGAAACTTAGATCATATTTATATCTGTTCTTTCCTTCTAAAACAAAGGATTAAAAAAAAATAAACAAATAAAAACCCTACATGTCACAGATCTGTGTAGCATCAGAACTTGGAAGCATATGGATACACTTCAGATCTCTAAATCAAATGTCTTTAAAATCAACATAATGAAATGTGCTTCTGCTCTCCATCTCCTTCTGCTCTCCATCTCTTGTTCCACCGGTCCCTAGCCAGCACCCGGGGCCAGCCATACCCACAGTGTATACATAGTGGTTTTGTTATAGGACACCAAATCTGTTACAGGACAGGGAGAGGGCCACCCCTAAGCTCCAAAATCCTGCCTGCTCTAAGTGGGTTCTGCCATCCGCCGCAACAAGACAAAACATATAAAACTTTAATGAAAAGGGACTTTAGTACAGTGAATATACAATAAGGAACACAAAGAATATAACTTCTAAATCAAACACCTGAAGTGACCCATCCCCTCATGGGCAAAAGTCAACCCAAAAGGGATTGGCCCAAAGCAAGGCCTGAAAGCTGCCACAAGGCTAAAGCACCTTCTGGTCGGGACCCATGGAAAAGGGTCAGAAATGGCCAGACAAATCTGGGAGGAAAAGAGCACAATCAAAATCAATATAAACACTGCCATAGTTACCTCCCTACAGGTATCTCACCCACATCTGCCTTAACCAGTCCAGGGTCAGGAAACAAGCCCGGTTTCTTCATCACATGCTTGTTGCTTCATGTGGCTTCCTTAGGTCTCCATCTTGTTCTCCATCTTCCTCCATTTCCTTCTCTTCTCTCCTTTTTCTCTGCTCAGCTCCACCCTCCTTCTGGGTGGGGCAGGGAATCTGGAACTTCCCTTTTTCCTAGGGACCACCCTGTTACAGTTTCACCAGGAGCTGGTTGGTTCTCAGCTTCTACCTCATGTTGCTGGCTTATGCTGAATAAATGTTGGTCCTGATGTCCTGGTGTTTGAGCTGGTGTTGTTGTTGTTTTTTAAATTTATTTATTTATACATTCGGAACTGGGGTACAGGCCAGAGGTGTGGGGGATGAGAGGTGCTCTGTCATCAGCAACAGAGTGGGGAGCAGAACAGGCAGTGCACTGAAATACACTGCTGAGGAGAGCAGTGGGAAGGTCAGGAGGGGTCTGCCATGTCATGCGGGTCACCCCCTGACCAGGGACTGAACTTGTGCTGCAGAGGCTATGATAGCTTCATAGCGCTGTGCTTTAACCCAACACTATGTTGCTATGTTGTGCCACCAGGGAGGGCCCTGAGCTGGTGTTTTAACAGGCTTCAGGAGTATCTACTTTTTAAAATCCCTTACTCTCAAATCACATACAATTTCATTCCTTACCTGAAGTTTTAGAGATTTTAATTCTTGGGTTGTATGGTTTCTTGAGAGCAGGGCCTAAAGAGAGGGAAGAGAACAACCACTATTATTCATGGTGCAGTAAGAGTAAATGTAGCCTTCAGACACATTTGTAGCGATTCAACAGGAGCCGCCTTCTCCACACTCAGTGCCTGGCTGCACCAGGAGGCAGGCCTTTTCAGTCTGGGTGGCTGCTTTGCGGGGGGGGGGCCTTGGGAAGTGGCACACACAATCAAAATAACTAAATGAAAAATAAGAAGTCATCAAAGTTCTAGGGATTGCCCTGAGTACCACTGACACTCAGGGAAATCTTACTTCAATCAAATTTTTGAGCCAACCAGTTTGTTATTTCCTCTTCTGTGTTTTCGTCCAGGGCCTTACACCATGGCCCTGAATATTACTGAAGCAATGGTGTTTTCCCTGGCTGTGGCATGACTCTTATAGCTGGAAGAACATCAGGCAAATGACTTTTCTTCAGAAATAAAATAGCACAAGACATGCTCCACTCTTTCTCAAAAAACAGTGTATCATTTTTAACCTCTACATTATTGTCTGAACCCTTGAATGTCTTGCTAGTTCTATACTCCTCTGGGTAGAGGGTAGCTCCCATTAGTAGAATACTTATGATTTTACACATTTAATCTTTGAGCAGCCCTGCAGAGGAGTTATTATGCCAATAGTATAGGCAAGGAAAAGAAGCACAGAGAGGTTCAGGAACTCACCTTGAGATGCACAGCAGCTGAGCACAGTCAGTGAACTGAAACCCAGCTCTGCCTGCAATCTAACATCATGCAATCTCCCCTGGCTGGGAGCTTTTCAGTTTCAAGTGTCAGGAAGAAAGGAGACAGCTATAGGATCTGGGTTAAATTAGTTCCCTCTCTAAGAGGACATGGACTTGACAGGAATTTAATAATTCCTGAATAAAAACATGCTATTGTGTTTTTTTCCCCCTGCAAACAGATATTACTGAGAATATAATCCTCTGATTTGGTTAAACTGTTTTTCCTTGTTACTAATTTCCTCACAAGAATGCTGTGGAGATCAATGGCAACAGTTTCTGTTTGGATTCTGGGTGATAAATGTGGAAAGGGTGGGCGCTCTCAAGAATCCCAAACTTGGTTCATCATATCTGTTGTCCAGGAATATAATTTTGGACATGTGCAATGAATAACCTCGAAATACTTAAAAAGAATGAAAGGCACTTAGAAGCACACTTGCTCATTCATCCGGGTGTCTTCATAATGTCCGATGCCTGCAGATGCTCAGTACTGATGTCTTATGGATGGACCCACTTCACTGGAAACGTCTTTGAGATAAATGCTACCTGTTCTAATTTCCCTAAGGAGATGTTCAGCTTGTAACAATAATACTGTTACAGGGCAACTGGGTTGCCTGTCTGTGGGTCTTCACCCATGCACTCAAGACTCAACTGAAGACACACACAAAAAGGTCAGTAACAGGTTAATTTACAAGGGAAAAAAAGAAAAGGAACAACTCAGGTTAAGGGATAAAGATACAAGTTAACTAATGCGTCCTACCAGTTCCACTGACCTGGAACCCCAACAGCACACTGAAAGCTGATGAAGAGCCAAGCGACCAGCCACTGGCCACAAGGCCAAAAGAGAGATAGAGACCCCTCAGCCCAACATGCCTGGTTTTATATCCAAAACCCAAAATGGCTCGTTGACTCCGCCCTCGTGTCCTAGCAACCCTCCCTTTGGCATTGCAGGGATTTGTAGTTTCGGTGTCTGGAGTGGGGGTGGAGTCCACAAAACCTTTATCTATAGAGTTGTTCAGGCCATCCCTCTCCTCGCCCCCCCACCCCCATAGTATGGAGCCCTAATATTGCCTCCAGAGATTTTGGGTTGCATTTAGGAGCGCTGTTTGTAAAAAAAACTAAAATATAATAAATATATCTGCCCACTGACCTGGGGCTGCCTGAAAAGCAGGCAGGAAGGGCCCCTTGGGGTCCACACACGCCCGCACTATGGTGTCAGTACCTGGTCTTTCGCTGGTCCCGTGCAGGCTCTGCATCACTGTTTCTGGCCCTGTGGCAGCTGACATGCCGGTAATGTCCTCTAGCTGCTCTGTCTGCAGGGCCTGTTGCTTCAGCTTCATGGAGGTGAACGGGGTGAGGAAGTGAGAGTTCACAGCCAGAGCCTGGGCCTTCTGCCTCAGCCCCTCCTTTTCCTGCTCATCTCCACTCTGCAGCCAGGAGCTCAGCAGCTCCTTCATGGTGAGGTAGCTCCAGAGGCGCTCCATGTGGTTGGGGTTCTTGCCATCACCCTTCGACCTGGGATCATTTCTCACCTCCCGGGGTTCCACGGGCACATCTGTCTTCAGCATGACAAATTTGTTACTGTTGCTAGCTGTGACTTCCACATGCAGTTGATCTATTTTCCTGTCCACCAGCTTCCCAGCAATGATAATCTCAGAGCCGTTAAAGTAATTGGGGAACAGTGTTCTGGTAGTCTGTTCCACGAAGCCAGGTGGGTAATCGATGCGGATGTCAGAGAGGAGAGGGGTCCTAATCTCATCATAGAAACTGGAGAGAAGGAACAGAAAGAGAAAGTCAGGGTCCTGTCCTGGCTACAGTCTGGTGGGTCCTGAAGGAGCTCACAGACTGTCAGGGGGCTGGATCTGAACTTAGAAGAAACATTCCAGTACGATGTTGTACCCAGCAGAACATTTCTGACAGGCAGCCATGAACAATGGCTTGAACTAGTGACAGAGGACTCACTCTTTCACAAGTCTTTTCAACTGTTCTAAGGAAAAGGAAGAACCTCCTCGCAGTACATCAAAACCTCCCTCCAGCAGTTTCACCTACTTGATGACCCAGGTTAGAGATCTCTAACTAGGTTTATCACTCATAAATGGTGGCTCTGAAACCCTGTAAATTTACTTAATGTTCACCTTTTTTTTTTTTGGTTTCTCTTTTAAGTATATACTCCACATGGCACAGAGCAGATTAAAGCATCTATGCTGAACTGGGAGACAGACCCTCCCGAACCCACCAACAAAGTTGTGTTTCATGTCTCCAAACATGTTGATTGAGGGGAGACACTGAATTAGTTAGAAGATCTATGTTCTAGTTTCTTCTAGACTTCAAAAGATAATACAGTTACCAGTGTTAGCTTGCCATTTTGCTTTAAAATAGAAATATCACTGTAAGTAGTCTCAAAGGGGAGATAACATTATTTCTCCGCCTACCTCACAGTATGAATCTAGAGCAAATGTACCAGAAAGAGATTTGAAATGTCAAGTGCACAATTGTAGCCACAGAACTTAATTGAGCATCTAACACGATAGCTGTTCTGCAAGTATTTTATATGATTTGCTCATTAAATTCTCAACCAACTATAATTCCCATTTTATAGATGAGGAAATTGAGGCACAGCCCATCTCAGATTTTGCCTACAATCACAGAGCAGAATCAGAATTTGCAGTCTGATCTGCCTGGTTTCAAAACCCATCATGACGTAGATGCTGTAACCCAACATTATTTTCTCAATAAAAAATAATATAATTAAACAAACAAAAACAAAACCCATTATAATATCTCTGGTGTAACGAGTTATGCTTATTTCCAGGTTAAGATGCAGAAATTCAGTGAGTCTCTCACTGAATTCAGCTCTCGGCCCCCTTTGACAGCCTCTCACATCCCAGGAAGACAGACAAACAGACCCGATGAGCTGTGTGCCCGCGTCACTCTCCTCGAGGACACGCCGGGTGAGGCCACAGTTCTCCAGCGACAGCTTCTCCAGCAGCTTGAAGTCCACGTCATTCCCAATGCCGATGGTGAAGATGCAGACCTGGCCCTGGGCCGTCTCCTTGGTGTTATTGAGAATCTTCGGGGTGTGAGTCTCCCCGACGGTGGGCTTCCCGTCTGTCAGGAAGATGACGAGGGACACGCTCCGGTCCTCGATGTCATTGTGTGCCACATAGTTGTTAAGAAGCCTGATGCCCCTCTGCAGGGCCCCGTTGATGTCTGTGCCTGTGGGCCACCAGAATAGGGCAGTTTAGACCGCTGTGCTCACGCTCTGCACCTGGACGCTCACTCAGGGCTGTGATCACTAACAACCCTCCCGGCCTCAGCAGGAGTGGGGTACGTGTGTACTGCTGGAGGAAAGGGGGAGCACGGAGTCCATGCCTATCGGTGTGTGTGTGGGGGGGTGCTATCAGATCACATGACCTTCCTAGAAACTTGAATAGAAATGGCATGGAATTATCCCCCTGAATATAACCTCGACCTGAAGATACCTTAGCATTAATGGCTGCTACACATTTTTCTGAGAACAGCTTTGAAAAGCAGGATGCTGCTTGGCACAGGAATCTGGAGGGAGAAATAGGAAAGGAAGGGGCCACTGGCAATGGGAATGTGGGGCAATGGAAACATCCCAGGGGACTTTCACTGTGGACAGGAGGAGACGCTGGCTAGAGAACTAACTAGCTCTCTGTAGCCTCCATCATCGGACCTTTTCGTGCCTTCTGCCTTCAGGTTACCTCTGCCCTCAGAACCCTCACAAAGCACATTTGCATGATTTCTACCTCCAGATCTGCCACTTTCCCCTCAGAGGCACTTGTCATTTGTAGCTCTGATTGAAGTCAGGGGACAGTGTCTGGGGCAGGTGCTGGACAAGCATTTGCTTGGTGTGTGGGAAAGATTGATGGTTCATTCAGTGAGATCAAAACTGCAGCCAGTATGAGCTTTCTGGACTAGCTAAGATTTTCATTCAACTATGCTGCTGGTTCCCCAAGTGAAGTCAAGAGATCTCACTGTAGCCCTAAACACTGATTTCCTTTCTCGGACTCCTGTGTGATTTTTCCCATTGTTTTATTGAGATGAAATTTACCTACAAGACATCACCCATTTTCAGTGCACAACTCACTATTTCAGTACATTTGTTGAATTTCATACCAATTGTTATAACCACTTCCCTTATCAGAGTGGTTTTTATCTGAGTAAACCAGACACTTTTCCTATTGCTTTACATCCCCCAGAATTTCTAGCTAACAGCCATAATGTAATGAACTATGCTGGGGGGCTTTCTGTGCCTTTTTGGTGAATGTGATATGCTAACATACAGCCCAAGAGTGTAATCTTGCACTTCTAAATCACATATAATGTTGTGAATCATTGTTACCTCTATTTAAAAAATGTCTACCCACGTGTATTCAAGTGTAAAGGAAATTTATACCTGAAATAGTATTTAATGTTTCTTTTGGCTCATTAATTTGCCTTTTCTGGATACCCAGTCAAATGTGCCAACTTCACATTACTGATGGCGCTATTTTCTCTTTAATCTAGAACTTAGTAATAGTGCCAGATCTCTCACTCCACTTTAATGCCAAGAAGATGGCATTAAACTGTCCTAATACAGTTATCAAAAGTGCAGAGGCGTTCAGCCTATGGTAAGCTGAACTTCTCTATCCCTCAGAGCCGCACTGAGGCTTATTCCACAGGAACAATAGGACAGAGCATCCTATTATTCATTCAAAACTCACCCAGGCTCCTTAAGGCCCTAGGCACCCCAAAAGGGAATCTCAGGCAGGTACAAATGGCATATCAGACATTTACAGAGGACTTTCCTAGGAGCCAGATATTCTAAGTAGCTTAAATATCTTAACTCATTTTATCCTAGTAACTATTTTAGGCCCATTTTACAGATCAGGAAGCAGAGGAACAGAGAAGATAAATGATTAATAGATGGTAGAACTACATTCAAAATATGGGCAGTCTCACTTCAGGATTTATGTCCCCAATCTTGACGTTATATTTTAGTGAGATGACCTGATTAATTTTTGTTTATCTGCAGGAATTGGGGCAATGTAGTGTGGAGGAAAAAATTTTAAAAAACAATGAGGTTTTCATGGCTTGGATTCCTAAAGAACATAATGCACACGGTGTTTTCTAAAGCACACACTTACCATTCCAACATAAGCAGGCCCATTCAAATTAATTTAATTCAGTAAACACTCCTTGATCAGGTAGCTTAGATCAACAACTATGCTAGGTATTGGGAACAACACAAAGATGAAGAATTCTTCCTCAAGGACTTTCAGTCTTACTGACCATAGACCATCTATAGACCATGACTGTAATACCAAATCTCATCTTTTTATTTCTCCCATCAGCCAGTCAAAAAAAATATCCTAGATCACATTGTGGAGACTGGTCAGAAATCCCACGTAATTCAAAGTCAGTCCAAGAAAAGTCAAGTTCCAAATTAAGCTCATTTGGGAAATAAGGGCTTTGTTTTGGTAGGAGATACTTAATATATGAAACAGGAAAAAATCCAGATGGAAAAGCATGAACTGGCTGTTTTACATATTTCATATAACCAAAGTAGGATTAATGAAAACAGCAAATTCAGGAAACAGAATCTCTATAAAGGGGCCTTAAGAAAGGGGGAAGGGTTTGTGGTAAGCAGCACTGAATCCAGACAGGTACTCATGTACCTGTGCACCCGTCCTGACCTACTGTGACCCACATTATAGCAAAAGTGAGACGCAGGTCCTGAGCGGAAAGGTCTTACCTGTAGCACAGAACACACAGCGCTAGTTCTTACAAACTTTAGAGTTTCTTACAAACTTTTCCCTCCTCTTTCAGCATTCTGCACACTAATCTCGGCACACACCCAAGCCGAATGTGCCAAGACTCAGAGCTCAGTATCCTCCCCTCTCGTTTACCACTTCCCACATTGCCCAAGGGATTCACACCATGCCCACTGCCACAGCCCAGCCAAAGGACAAGCAACTCGGCTCCATCTGCTGTTTAATCCGGTGCTAATATTCGAGCACACAAATCATTGGATCGTCTATTTGGCTTTAGTTCTCCACCCAAAGACAATTTACAAAAACAGCTTCATTGTTTAGGGTCCATGAGATAAGCCAGGAAAGGCTCCAAAACCTATCAGGTATTCTTCTTCATAACTTACTTGACCATCTTAGTGTGAGGGCCTGGAAGAGGAAAATTTAGAGTTTGGTGTTTAGAGAAACATAAGCTTCTGGGAAAACTCTCACCTGTTATCTCCTTTCCTGTGATCAGCTTCAGTTTTCAAATCCTTGTCTCTTGGCAGAAAATTAGCTCCCTACTCATTATCACATTAAAGCTCAGTGAAAAGGACTCATATTTACCTCCGGAGGGTGACATATGGTGAATGTAGATTTTGGCATCTCTGATATTGTCAGGAGTAACTGACACCAAATGGTCCTTCCACACTTTGATCCGATTGGAAAATCCAATGATACTGAAATGATCTTGGGGTCGGAGATCATGGAGAATTCTGAAGAGAGCATCTTTGGTCTAGGCAAACACAAAACCAAACTAGTCACATCTGATCACATTAGTCCACACCCCCCTGGTTTGAAGACTGTACAATGTAAATAAGGTTAGTGCCTACTATGTCAAGGGAAAATGTCAAGGAGCTTGTCGTGCAGCTGAAAAAGACTGGATGCAAAAAATATATTGAAATTTTATAGAAGACATTAAGTTGAAATCTGTGCTGTTGCAAGTCGGGGTGCCCTAGGCCTCCGGATTAACATGCTTTCACAATGCTCAGGTGTTCTTTGCCTGCCCCCCTCGGCCTAGTCCCCATTTTTCACCCGATAAGCCTCTAGTCAGTCTTTAAAATCTACGTTAGAGAGCTGTGGTCTCTATCTGAAACCATATCTAACACCCCCTGAAAGAGCTGATCTCCCACTCCTTGAGAGGAGCCATAGTCTCAACACATCATCGACTTGAGCACATATTCCACAGCCACTTCCCCTCTCTGTCCCTTGACCTCTACCGTGACCTCTGAGGCTGGGTCCCACCAGCCTCTGCTCACCCAGTGACAGTGATTCCCAACACTCAGAAATTGCTGGAGAGAGGGTTGGTGAGTGAACGCACATGTGGACAGATCAGGAATGATGAGATTAATCTCCCAATCTACTGTTTAAATACCATAGGACTTTTTAGAGAGTAAAAGCACTGTGGACTGGAGTGACATAAGAAAGCTTCACAGCAAAAGAGGAATTTGAGTAGGGGGGTTGTTTGAATATGGACCACTTGAAAGAAGGTAAGGAAAATGGCTTGCACAAATCCAAAAGGAGATATAGGTACATTCTAGAAGATCCAGAATATAAGGGTATGGGTAAAAGACATGACTTATGGAAAGAAGAAGAACAACATATGAAACTGGAAACAAAAAAATGCTAGGAGGCGGGGCATGAAACTTCTCGAAACAGCATTGTTGTTAGACATTGAGAGACTCCGTGTGAGTGATAAGAAACATTCATCACATTACTGCCAGAACAAGGACTTGTGGACCTTTCACAGTGGTGAAACACACGGGTGCTGGCAGCTCTGGGGCTGTTGGTCTGGGTCAGACCCTGATTGATCACGTACTGTCCACGTGACACTGCTCCTGTCATTCAGTCTCTTTCTTCACTGTGCCTAAGTTACCCCATCTGTAACGCAGGACCATACAACACCTGTCTTGTCAGTGGGTCAATTAAGTCGGTGACTATACAAAAAGCATTAGGAGGGGTTAAGGCACACAGAAGCTGGATGTCTTATTGCCAGTGGGTGGAAGGCAGCAGAATTTAACAAAAACAATAAAGTCTGGAGCAATGACATCTAGAGTGGGGTGTGCTGAAGTAGTCAGGATTCTAAAACATTTTTTTCTCTTCTGAATCTTCCTATCTTTCCTCTCTTTAGTCTTGCTTTTCAATCCCGTCTCCAACTGCTCACCCTCTAATTCCATGGTTCAACCCTTGAATTTCACAGAAAGCTCAAAATTCACTTGTGAAAAGTCTTTGACCCATGTCTACTTTCCAATCTGCACGATGCATCTTTCCTGGACAGTTTCGTAAACTCACAGTGTCTGACATGTGTTCATTGACCTTCTCCTTGCCAACCTTTCCTGAATTAATGATAGTTGTGTCCCAACCTCCTGTGTCTCTTCATTCCCAGGCTGAGAAAGCAGGAGTTGAACGCTCTCACCAGGAGCACTGCGATGATGACACTGGCAGCTGGCATCCCTTCCACTCCTCAGCTGTGATGCCAAGTGCAAGTGCTTTCCCTACATTGAGGGGTTGATCCACCTTGTCCTCATAAACCATTCAAAATAAAGCAACTATTAATATTTCCACTTTACTGGCAAAGATGAAGTGATGGAGGGCTTATGCATCACGCCCTGGGGAGCCTGGGTTAAATAAAAGCTAGGAAGTCAGACTCCTGGCTAACACAACAGCCCCAAGACCGCTGGCGTGGGAAGTGGTCTGAGTTATAATCCTTATACTGTGCAGCTCATTTTTGGATTCCTTCCAGATCCCTGCATGTTGACGGGTTGTTTATTCTTTGTTTCTTTCACTTCATGTCTGGCAGCAATGAATGAATTCCTCTCCTATAACATCCTTGCAGAAAGAGCGGCATGGATTCTGCATCCACCCGGGGAAGAGACAATGAACATCTTTCATTAAATCCATCTTCTCATCCTACAGGGGGCTGTCCCTCTTCCTAATCTAACCCCTTCCTCTAGCTCTTCCAAGAGAAAACAATGACAATGGCAGAGTTTATTATCATTTGGAGCCTCTGTTCTCTCCCACGACTGGGCCTCCTTACCACCCTTCTGTCCCGTCACACCCAGTTATTCAAAAGACAGATTCACTGGCAGCTGGATTTTGTGTCCTCTCCCTAATCCAACTCTCATTCTTAAGAAACACTTCTAAGGAACTTGTGAAGATAAGCAGAATCCAAAGCCCAAATTTGTCAGCATTATTTGGATGCCAGCATCAGGTATCTGTGGGCTCTTTACCAAGATAGCCATCCCCTCTGTCTTGAAACTCTGCTGACCACTGACTTCCCTGGCTGTACCCTGGGCTCCTTCTCTTTGACCAGCCCTCCCCTGCCTTTGGAGGTCCGCACATCTGCCCCCCAGGCACGCCCACGCCACCATGCTCCATTCCCAGTCATTGTAACTGACTTCCAGACTTCTCCCTGGAGTTGCCTCTCTCACTGGTCCCAGGCCAACCTGCTCACCACTTCTCCCCTTGTGCCTGTAGATATCTTAGAGGCAACAAGTGACAGCTGGAAATTCTATCTTTTCACCCAAACCCATTTCTCCTCTGCACTGGGAGAGACACCGAGATGTGAGTGGGACTTGACCACCCACAGAGCCTTCTTTCTATCTCTCCTTAACCTCACATTCTCAGCCCCCATCCTCCTTCTCTCCCTCTTCCCAACCTTTCTCTCCTAAATTCTTTGAGGTCATTTTCCATTTCCTAATCACCTCTGCCCTACATTGGCAACAATTTTTTCTTTTGTATTTTTTAATACAAGAAAAAAATCCTTTTTAAAAAGATCAGAAGAAATACATCAAAATTATAAAGCTGTCCTACAGTGGCTGTCAAAACACTGTTGTACCATAGGCCCCTTCAGAAACTTTTTCCCGCATGTGCATGCAATTTTAAGTTAAATGGGATCACATAACTATCATATGCTATAAAGTTTGTGCTTACGATATCACTTGCAGTTTTTGTGCCCATAGATAAATGCCTGCCATATCATTCTTATGACAGCACAATATTCTACTCTATGCATATACCATCAATGAATATTTTTTTAATATTTAGGTAACACTGCCATGAAGTGCCTTACTTATATCTCTCTGTGTCCACAGCTCTTGCCTTAGGATAAGTCCCCATCTGAAACTTGTGCGGCTTAGGACTTCTACTTCTGAAAGGATTTCACCTGTCCCCACATTGCTGCCACAGTGATACTTTCTACAAAGATAAGAGTGGGCCCACCCTTTGAGATCCCCTAAAACTGACACCCACATCTCTCCCGACACTCATCAAATTTCAGTATCATTACTCCTTCAAACTCTTCCCCAAAAGGACGTCCGCTCCTGTTCCCTCTGCCTGGAATGCCCTTCCCTACATCTGCCCCACTTTGATCCCTTCTCAGCCTCTGGTCCGGGCTTAACCCATCCATTCCCCTCCAGAAAGCCACCCTGTTTTTCCCTTCACATATCCAAAGAGAATGTAATTACTTATTTGTATATTTGTTTGCCTACCCAATCAATTCCATGCTTCTGAATACAGCAGCTTTTTCTATTTTGTCATTCTATATTTAAAACCCAGCAGTGCCTGGCTGTAAGACAGACCTGATATAAGTTTCCTGTATAAACAGTGAATAAACTGTCTCATGCTAGATAGGAGTTTCCCAAAACAGCTGCCCCTTGCTCTTTCCCATTCCCCCAACATATTTTGCACACGGTAGGCTTTCAGTAAATATCTATTGAGAGGAGAGAAAAAGAAGTGGACTTCCATTGAGTGAATGCAAAGGAAGTAAGAGACACAGACCTGTCCTTGAGACTTTACAACATAATGCTGAGAAGGACGCTGTGTAGGAAACAGAGCTGACCCACAGATAGAGTTACAGTAAAAATAAATAACTCAGATCATTACAATAAATAGAAGTGGGTGGAGTGCTCTGGTGTTGACAGCAGCAGCTATAGTCAGGGTGCTGGCAACATTTTGAGTCCTCACCCTTTCTTCCACTTGGAGCCTACAGGATCCCAGCATGATCAGGGGTGCTCCTGGTCGAAGCATCTAGACCTCTGAAAAGTCCAAAGGTGAACAGTGGTGATGAGAGACACCACCACTTGGAGCCCAAATCCAAAGCACACAGTTGGCACTGTGGGATGCAGGCTGCTTGTTTAGCTGCTGGCACCCTTAGGGAACTCACAGAGTGAGCAGAAGACCTCAAGAGGGGCCGACCTGGTTTCTGTGCTGATAATTCCCCCCAGTGGTGATGGATATTCTGCTTTACGAGTAGTTGCTCTACCATCTACACCTTCTCCCCTTAGGTCAGCAACTACAGGATTCTTATGATCTTGTAAGGCCACAGCTGTGATTTATCCTCACATGCACCAGAGGAAGGCCAGCCAGCGGGTTCCCAGTTGCTCCTTTCCAGTTGAATTAGTATCTTTTAGATAGTCTCCCTCTTTTCCTGAGGGACCCAGGGCCTGTAACCACCACCATTAACCCTTCTTTTGCCGTCCCTGTGCTCATTTGGGTCTATGCCCCAAGAACTCTGCAGTCTGTAGAGACCAACACGCAAGCTGAAAATTCGAGTGCAGAGAGAAGAACAAAAGCAAATGGCCTTAAGCTGATATTTCTGTGGACTGTGTTTACATGCTGAATATTAACAGAAAGAGTCAGACTTTTTCCAAGAGTCCAGTCCAGAGAACAGGGTAAGCACATTCCAGAAAGTTTAGAGGAAGTCCAGAAAGGCAGAGTGTGCAGTCCAAGTTCTGA